AGAATCAGTCATAAGCAAAAAAACCTGAAGGCACTGAGGAAAGGTGAAGCTCAAAATACAGTATATGCAGCTAATTCAAGGGGCCAGTGCTTAAAGTTCGATAGTGAATCAACAAAATATAAAAAATCTATTCAAAATATATGTGAATAGACATTTTATTTTAAATTAAAGTTTCACTTCCAATCAACAATTTACGGTTTTAATTACACTAGTGTACATAGAGAGCCTTAGAGCACAGTGGGTAATACAAACTCAAAATATGACGTATGTGTCCAATTATAAATTGACTGAAGAATATTTAGTTGTGTGTGAATAGAGCAGTTTCTTACAGAAATTCCTCACTATCTGCTTATAAACTCAACATAGCTATCTAAACTGCCAGATGTTTGTCTCTATTTTCCCTATACCTAGTACTAAATGGCATAGTTCTCTCCTGGAAACTACTTCATTAGAAAATGACAGACTTGTAAATTAAAGCGTTACCAATTCAATCTACGGTTATATTGCTAATTATACACATGTGAGCTATTTAGCAGCGCATACAGATTACTTTCATGTAATACAGCGTTTCCCTCCCAGTGCAAAATGCTGTATTACATCGAGCACAGCAGGTGGCTGTAAAGAGCTTCAGTGTGTTTTACACTGGCTGCTCTTAGGCCTGTGTGTTCTCTGTGTGTGGTGTGTTGAGATGGTGGGATTGAGTGTGGCTGCTGCAGCTGGCAGCACTGGCACTCATCATGCAGGTATTACAGGTCCTGGGGGAAAAAAAGAGTATTTTCTTTGCCTGGATCATCGGGCCCGGAGGGACAGCATGCTCAAGCAAAGGAGAAAGCTGATTGGCTACACATACTTAGTCTGTTTGTGCCTGTTTGGACCTCTTTTTTTCCCTTTTCCTTCCATTGAGGGATGAGATTTTCCTCTGAGCCTAATCTCTACAGTTGAGCACCATGGGGGTGGAGAATAAGCTTGGAATGTTTATAACACCTGGGGGCAATTACTTTCCCAAATAATCTGCCGGTCATAATCTAACAAATGCCCAAAAGGGCCTCGAGTTGGCACAGACTTGGCTTATTTAAGACTAAAAAAGGTGCACAGCAACTGAGTCTTTTTGTAGGTCTAGGCTTTGGGCTGCTGTATGTAGACCCATATAGATTGTGAACTCAGCTACCATGAGATGCAGTATGTATCTAGGCCATTAATTCAGGGGAGGGCGTATCAAAGTGGTTTCAAATTCTTGCAAGATGCACACAGCTATGCATGTTTCTTCTCATCCACCCAGAGAGAAGGAATACATTTCTGTGACAGAGGAAACACTGCAGCTGATAGAGAGACAGAGAGAGAGAGAGAGAGAGAGAGAGAGAGATTTATTTTTGGTCAGTAAATGAATCCAGCTGCATTTCAACCTTGAACATGAAAAAGAACATTCTTGCCTATTTCGAGGCACACCTTTTCAAACAGGGCATTTCTTGTCAAAACCAAGTAAGTAATTCCTGAGTTATTAAAGTTTCAGTTCTTAAAAGTCTCACAATTCCCCCCCTAGGAGGTACATTGTCACACAGTGACACGCTTACGTTTGATGTTTGTTTCCCTGGAAGCAATTCTTTGACTACACAATATTTCCTTTCCCTCCTATTTAAAATCCAAACGCACTCCCATTCTCTCCGGCATGTAGGAACTCATATGAGGGCCTTTGCCACGGAAAAACATCAGTATTCTAATTTGGGCCTGCTTGTGTTCTTCCAGTGCAATCTCGTGCTGCCTCTGTTTTTCACTACGCTACACACTACACTGACAGGTTGTTGATGGAATAATGGGGGTGTTGGTTATGCTACAACTAAGCCAATGGACACAACGCAGATTGATGGGACTGTAGTGTATATGACACAACAAGGCTTATCCTCGGCTTAAGCCCATGAAGTCATTAACCAACGGCCTTGAATAATGCAGAGATATACTGCAGACAGACGATGATGTCTGGTTGCATATGAAGCTTTTTGCGAATTAGCAAACACACACATCACACATCCTGTAATTTGACAACAAAATGTAGTTGTAATGTGTATCGTAATGTGTTTGTTCAAACGGACTGTAACGGAGCCATAGATAACACAGATATAATTATAGATAACCGTTGTTTGTTTTAAGAAGAACTGTTAATTATAATAAGCCTTCACAATGACTGCTAGAAAGACCCATGCATCATTGATAAAAGGTAGGAAAAACAATGCATAATTGCATAAATGATAAATTCAATGGCATAACTCCTGCTCTCTGTGACTAATTATGCTATTGCACAACAGTTGCATTGGACACTGTGTTAGAATGAAAAGGAACAAATGAGAAAGGTGTAGACCTCGCCAGCTAGTTATTGTAAGAGTCATTTCTCACAATGGGCACCTTTTGGACCCAGTGATATTTTCAGGCATTCATTTTCCATCCTTTTAACATATTGTTACAGAGTGCACACATTTAATTTGAAGGGAAACATGCAACACCTAAATTACTAAGGACTCCACCAACCAAACCATAGCTTATATCTGCTCTTTTACCATCATGCACGCAGCTGTCTTAATAATAAAAAAATAATTGCCCTTACTCTACCATAGTATGCTATAAAGCAATATTTGTTTGGTAACATGCCATTTTACTGTATTAAAGTGCGTTTTTGGTGACCTTGTTGAGATGTGTTTTCGTGAATCTCATTATTGTAATAATACATACATATTACGTTACTAGTCTGTCTTTATTTTCACATCCCATTTATCCAATGGTCACATCACATCGGTTGAGACAATAGACTGTATGGTTGCGACGCTAAACCAAATATATCACAGTAACAGGGTTAATGGAACAGCAACATTTAAATGTAGGCTACATAAATATATTAATGCTCATTATTTTCTGTGCAAAATTATTACAGAATACAATTTTGTTTAATTTTTTTATTTTATTTTAGCTAACCTAGGCCTTGAAGCTCATAATAACACTGATGAGGACTTAATGACAATGACAGCAGAACAGTGAGCCAACGGGCACAATACTCTGAACACTGAAACCAAAGCAGCTAAAAGGAATTCAGCGATCATTACATTTATTGCACTTTTTCTTCTAATGTCTTCCAAAAAATACTGTATAAGTTTTTATCCACAAGTGATTTTGAAACTTGAAATAATCAAGTTTGTAATTAAAACTGTTAGATTAACGCTTTTGGGATTGACTACTTCCGGCTGCCATTTTTCTTTGGCAAACAGGTTAAAAAAACCTGCTTCATTATTCATCCCAGGGAAAACGGGGACCCTTTGAGGCGCCTTTAAATGTTTTCCTAAAAACAGTAGGTGTTCTAAAACTTTCTTCAGGGTTTTAGTTTATTAGTTAGAAAGGGGAAGCAATGAGAAACAAACCAAACACCTGTTGCTAGGCAAATACAGGATGATGACTATGGCACAGACAGCTCTAACACAAACTGGAGGCACAAAAGTTTGGAGCAGTTAGATGTGCAGTCTTCTGCAAGTTTCTTTATTCCTGAGGTATATAATGGACTGGATTGTCAGATAAATGCCGCACTTTTAGCCATGCACTGTGGAAAATGTAAGACGACAACACGAATGCCTCCCAAAGCTGCACTGCACATAATGGACAATTTATATAATGAGACACTGAAGAAGGTGTGCTACATGATGAGCGGAATAGAAGCCCACTCAGATCATCCTGACCCTCTTTGGCAATATCTGTGAAGAGGTAAGTAATTCTTTTAAAATGATCTTGCATTTCTGTGCTGTACTGAACATTAGCCTGGCAGTATGCTGTTTTTATTCTCTTGCTGTTTATTAAGTATACACTGTGTGTGTGTGTGTGTGTGTGGCTGTGGTCGGTTGTTAAGCATTACAGTTGTGGTTATTGATTAAGCGTGGTCACATTTTGGATTGTGTTCAGTTTCTCTGGGTTATGGATTGTTTTTTGAGGAATTAGTATTAGTTGTTGACAGTTTATCTGCCTTATATTTGAGGTGTATGTGCCTGCCAATCAAGTTGTTTTAGCCTACAGTTTTATGTGTGAGTTGCTTTTGTTTACCAGACTGAAATTAAATATGACAAAAATGTGTCATATTCAAAACTGCACTGCCATTACAAAAACACACTCCTCATTCTTAAAATCACTGTAATGTGTGTATGGTGACATGCAGCACACATATCAGGAGTGCTTTTAAAATGTATATGTTTTAACTGTCTGCCTCTTAAGCACCTGTACTATCCTTAGGCGTAGTTATTACTTCCAAGTAAGCACCATTCTGTTAGCTGCCTCATCATGAGTGACACATGTTGGGGAAGGAGCTTGACCAGCTGCAGCAGATGTGACAACCCTCTGAGCAGGTTTCTCTATCCAAGAGTCTGGTGGCTGGAGTCAGGTCATCAGCAAGATTCAGTTCACCTGGTCTGGTGGCAAGACTATATAGG